GCCTTTCCTTTTAACCTTTCCCTTTTCCTCCTTGTCTTTGTTTTCTTTTTCTTTTTTACACACCATCAGTTATTATCTCCCATTACTTTTGGCCTTTCCCACTCTCTTCTCTTTATTCATTTTCCTTTCATAAACTCCTTCTTTTATTCTTACTTCTTTACCTTTTTCTTTACTCTTCTTCTTTTATACGTCATCTTTTTTTGCCTTGTGTAATCTCTTTCTTTTATTCTTCTTTCTTTTTTTCTTTTTCTTCGTTTCTTTTACTTTGTTTTCCTTCTTTTTTTCTTAATTCTTTTCTTTATTTTTTCCTTACTCACTTTCATTCTTTTATTCTTCTTTCTTTTCCATTTTTCTTTTCCAATTCTCCTTTTATTCTATTTTCATTCCTTTTTCTGGATTTATTCATTTCCTTCCACTTTCTTCGTTCTTTCCATTCTTATTCCTATCTTCCTTTCCTTTTTCTTTCTTTTTTCAATTTCTTTCATTTGTTCCTTTTTTTATTCTTCTTTCTTTCCTTTTTATATCTTTCCTCTTTAATTTTTAATTTTCTTTTTTATTTTTCATCTGTGAGTTTCGTTCCTTCTTCGTTGCATTCTGTTTTTTTTTTTTTATTAGGTTTTTTCTTTCTACTTTTACCTTTCTCTTTCCTTTTCATGCCTTTCATTCCTCCCTCTTTGTTATCTTTTAATGTCTTTCCTTCCATTCTCTTTTATCCTTTTTCTTTCAAGTGCATGTCTTTCATCTTTTCCTTCTATTCTTCTACTTCCTCGTTCATTCTATTTCCTTTTATATCTTTCCTTTTCCTTCATTTAGTATTTTTCTTTCCGGTCATTTTTATGTTCTTCCTTCTTTCTTTTTGCCATTTTCTTCTTTCCTTCTTTTTGTCTCTCTTCTCTCTTTTGTTCTTTTTCTCAGGCATTCAACTTATCTTCACTTTTTTCCTTCCTTTTTACACATTTCCCTTTCTTTCTACTTTTTTTTCCTTTCTTTCACCTTGACTTCTTTCATTTCTTTTTTCCCTCTTTCTTCTTCTTCTTCTTCTTGTTTTTCATTTTTCCTAATTCCTTTCTGAAAATTTCTCTTTTTCCTTCCAGTCTTCCTTTTCGTTTCGTTCTTCCGTGCAAAACCAAACCCCACCCGGCGTATTCCCTAAGAACTCGATGATTCCACCCTTACCTACACACTCTGCATTCCATTTGTTTTTCTTTCTCCGCTGACCGTCGTCATCTCATCTTTCAATTTTACCCCCTTTCTGTAAACCTGCTCCCCCCCATCCCGAGTCTGTCTTCAACAGCTGTATACTTTAAAGTACCATTCTCTCTCTCTCTCTCTCTCTCTCTCTCTCTCTGTTTCCACACACCCAAACGTGTTATTTCCACAGCAAAAGCCCTTGTCTCCCTGTTCGTTACCTTTCACACTTCCCGTATATGTCTTTAGCATTCTTCAGATACTAGCAATCGACGCTACCGGCCCCTGAAGATCTCATCTACGACGCCCAAATCCGTTATTGTCGTCGTCTCTCTCATTCTCATTTCTTGACGTCTGTATTTATTTCCCTTGAATAATTTTCGTTCATTTCTTCGCGTTCGTGCCTGTCTTTCAGTTTTTCTTTTCTTTCTTTCTTTTTTTACAATTCTTTCTCTTTCTTTCTTTCTTTCTTTTCTCCAATTAATTCCTTCTTTTTCTACAATTCTTTCTTTTTCTACAATTCTTTCTCTTTCTTTCTTTCTTTCTTTCTTTCTTTCTTTTCTCCAATTAATTCCTTCTTTTTCTACAATTCTTTCTTTTTCTTTCTTTCTTTCTTTCTTTCTTTCTTTCTTTCTTTTCTCCAATTAATTCCTTCTTTTTCTACAATTCTTTCTTTTTCTACAATTCTTTCTTTTTCTTTCTTTCTTTCTTTCTTTTCTCCAATTAATTCCTTCTTTTTCTACAATTCTTTCTCTTTCTTTCTTTCTTTCTTTCTTTGTTTTCTCCAATTAATTCTTTTTTTCTTTCTTTTTTCTACAATCTTTCTCTTGATTTCTTGATTTCTTCCTTTCCTTTCTCCAATAAATTCTTTCTTTTTTCATTCCTTCTTTCTTTTTCTACAATTCTTTCTCTTTATTTCTTCGTTTCTTTCTTTCCTTTCGCCAATTAATTTTTTCTTCCATTTTTCTTTCTTTCTTCACTTCTTTCTTTCTTTCTTTTTCTGCAATTCTTTCTCTTTATTTCCTAGTTTCTTTCTTTCTTTTCTCCTATTCTTTCTTTCTTTCTTTCTTTCTGTCATAATCATTTCATTTTTTCATTCACTATATTTACCTTTTTTTCGAAATCAATTTCTCTTAAAATAAAGAAAGAGAAAAATCTTTTTAATACTGACTTTATATTCTTTCTTTTTTTCTTTTTCTTTGTCTTTCTTTCGGTCTTTTTCTTTCTTTCTTTTTACTCTCCCAATTCATCTTTCTTTCCTCTATTTTCTTAGTATGTTCTTTATTTATTTTTAGTTATTTCTTTCAGTCTTTCTTTTCTAAAATTCTTTCTTTTCTTTATTCTTGGTCTTTACTTTCTTTTTCTTTCTTTTGGCTATTTTTCTTTCATTCCCTGTTTATCTGTATTTCTTTCTCCTTTTCTTCCTTCCTTTCTTTCTTTCTTTCTTTCTTTCTTTCTTTCTTTCTTTATTGTCTTCCTATTCTTTTTATCTTTCTTTTTTCTTACTCTTTCCGTCATTTTTTCTTTTTCTTTCATTTTTATTTTCAGTCTTTTCTCTCTCTCTTTTTCTTTTTCTTTCTTTCTTTCTATTTCTTTCTTTCGTTTTTTCCTTTTCTTTCTTTCTTTCTTTCTTTCTTTCTTTCTTTCTTTCTTTCTTTGAGCCAACGACCATCTCGCTCATCCCCGACATCCCGCTTATCTCCTGTCTACATCGCTAGTTTCTTCTCATTCTTGCCTTTTCTTTCATCTTCCCTGGCCCCAAATCATCTCTTATTTTCATCCTGTTCTTCTGTTGACAGCATTCGTGATGATGATGGTGGTGGTAATGATGATGATGGTGATGATGATGATCATCACCATCGTCATCATCATCATCATCATCGTCACGCCGAAGTCGGCGCGGATGGCAGCGGAATCCAGATGGTGGAGATGCGTCAGACAGAGAGTGAGTGAGCGAATGCTTCAGTGAGTCAGTGAAGGAGAGAGAAAGAGAGTGAGTGAGTGAGTGACCCGGTGTGTAAATCTGTCACTTCCCTAGTCATGGTAACACTAATAGATGCGGTTCTAGAGAAATGAAGTGTCACCACTTTTTCTGCGAGAAGTAGGAATTGAAGACTAGAGATTTAATGTGGATCTTTGGTCTGGAATAATGCTATACGGTTTCCGGGCCGCTGATTTTCACAACCGACTACCATTGAAAGCTTCACATTTGTTTCCGCGATGCCAACTGAAGTGGAACTTGAGGCTATTTGGTAACTGACTACTGCTATTGCTTCTATGGAATTCCATGGTGGATTCTAGGTTTCGGTCTGAAACCCTCTGCTGAGAGGGGAAAGAAAAGAAGCATTTACAGAAAGAACTTTGAATTTGCTGTGCCCGTCACAAATCGAAACGTAAACACTGTCGCAATTAGGAGAGCGATAGTCTATGCAAAACAACTAAAGACTCCCCTATCTTTTCCCCCCTCTTATTCTTCTTGTCCGTCTCCCTCTCTATTATCTCCCTCACTTTGTCTTATTCCTTCGCTTCTCGCTCCATCTCTCTCTCTCTCTCTCTCTCTCTCTCTCTCTCTCTCTCTCTCTCTCTCTCTCTCTCTGTCTCTGAAGCAGTTTCTCAGGTCATTTTTTTTTTCAAATTCTTTTTTTTCCTTCCCCAAAATCTTTCTTTCATTATTGTTCTCTTTGTCTCTCTCTCTCTAACTCTCTCTCTAACTCTCTCTCTCTCTAACTCTCTCTCTCTCTAACTCTCTCTCTCTATCTATCTTTATAATTTTTTTCTTTCTCTCTCTCTTTTCATTTTAACGACTTTTTCACTGTCTCTGTTTTGCCCATGCAGTCTTTCTTTCCCACTCTCTTTTTTTTTTCTCACATCCGTGCATGTGTGGGTAGGTGCTGACTGGAGGGAAGGGGTAAGTATTTCCCCTTGACACATCAATTGGAGTAGAACTGATTGGTGAGAGAGTTGGTGCATAAATAAAAGGCCCGGTGCTTCCTGGCCGAAGCATCGGGCGCTGCTGACACCTTCATCTCCATCATCACCATCGGCCATATTCACTCTTCTGCTACAACTCTTTCTTTCTTTCTTTCTTTCTTTCTTTCTTTCTTTCTTTCTTTCTTTATCCCATTCCTATTTTCTTTCTTTCTTTCTTTCTTTCTTAATTCACTTTTTAATCTATTCTTTTTTTATTCAATCTCTAGTCTCTCCTTTCTTTTTAATCTGTTTTGTTTCTTTGACTCTTCTTTCAACCTTTTTCTTTCACCTCTACATCTCTTTCATTTGTCTTTTTCTTTACGTCTTTCATCAGTTATTTATTTTTCTTTCTTTTTTCTTTCCTTCTTAATAAGATTTGCCTTTCTACGTCCGATTTTTCTCTTTTTAATTTCGTATTTTTCTTCTTAATTTTATCTTCATCGTTTCTGTCTTATTCTTTCTTTTTATCTTTTTATCTTCTTATTCTTTCTTTCTTTTCTAGTCTCTTCTTTCTTTCCTTCTTTCTTTCTTTCTTAATCTTACCTTCTTCTTTTCGGTCTTATTTTTCCTGTTTTATTTTTTTATCTTCCCATCCTTTCTTCGTTTCTTTCTCCCTTGCTTTCTTTTTCACTCTTTTTAATCTTACCTTCTTCCTTTCTATCTTATTCTTGCTGTCTTTTCACTTTTCTCATCTTTCTTTCTTTCTTTCCTTTCCCTTTTTTTAGTTTGTTCTTCGTTTATTTTTAGCCTTTCTTCTTTAATTCTCTCAATCTTATTTTCTTTGTTTCTTTCTTTCTTTTTTCGTCTTTATTTCCTTTTTTCTAATGTACTATTATTTCTTCATGATTCCGTCTTATCGTTTTCTTTCTTTCTTTCTTTCTTTCTTTCTTTCTTTCTTTCTTTCTTTCTTTCTTTCTTTAACCCAACCGCATTCTCACCCATCCTCAACAGTCATCTTCCTGCCTCCATCCCGCTTATCTTCTGCCCACATCGTGTTTGCTGGCCGTGGGTAGCGATGCATTAAGCCAGCCAAAGACTGCAGAGCGTAAAAGGAATTGCTTGAGTAGAGCGAGTCAATCAACAATGCCAGCAAAACTGGCTGCTTCCTCTGCCAACACCAACACCACACCTTTACCCACCCATCAGCTATCTATCTCACACACAAAATGCACTCACAGGGAAACGGAGAGAAAACCGCTGGGAAAAACAATTTTTACGAACCTTAGCTTCGTCTGGCACATGCGGATAGGAAGATTGTCTTCCGCCAGTCTTTCAAGTGGGAAAGAACTGCCATTTGAAAGAAACTTTTAATTGGAATTGAGCACCCTCACCTTGTAGCATTACTGAGAAAATGGTGATATTCTAAGACTTTCTTTTTCTTTTTCCGCTTTCTGTGTCCCGGCCATTCTTAAAACACTTTTAGTATTTATACGCGCTTCCTTTATGTACTATGTCCTTTCAGGATGTGGGTGATCATGTCTCTCCACAACTTCCTATCCTTTGTAGCTCTTAGCAATCTTTATTTTTTACTATGATTCTCACTCACTCTGCGATCCATTTACACAAGCTCGTTATGTACGTTGATCATGGCTCTCCACAACTTCCTATCCTTTGTAGCTCTTAGCATTGCTTGTCTTTTTACTATTCTTCTAACTCCCTCCTCTGCAATCCATTTACATAAACTCATAAGGTGGGTTGATCATGGCTCTCCACTGCTTCCTATCCTTTATAGCTCTTAGCAATGTTTGTCTTTTTACATGCTGTTTACCTCTGTCGCTCCTACATTCATTCTGTCCCTGTGAGTATTAGATCTTCTAAACCTTCTTTCCTCATTAAATTTCAACTATCTCTTTCTTATTCTAAGTAAATGTATCTTTTTTTTTTACCATTTTCCCTAAAACTTCTTCGTTCCTTCAATGTTCCGTCCATGGTATTCTTAGCATTCTTCTGTAGAACTGCTCCTAGTTTGCTTCAGGTCATATCTTCATATGTGAGGAAATTGACCGTCATTCAGTAATATATTGGAAGATTGGTACTACATAGTACCTCAGCCTACTTTACTTTCTTTCTTACTAAATTTTCCTGTTTTTGTTTGTTTTGTTTTTAAATCACTTCACTCCCAAGGCGATAAAACCACTAAGATACAAGAGGTTACAGAGTTGGATAGAAACTGAGAAAACATTAAGAAGAGAGGGAAAATAAATGGACGACATACAACAGAAGATGGCGATTGAAGTTACTTTTAAATTTTTGAGAATCCTAGGTGACAATAAAACTGGAAGAGATTTCCACAAGAAGTGCGAGTGAAGAAACTATTAGCATAGAACTTACGGTTACATCTAGTCATTTCAACAGTAAAATTAGACTTAACTAGTACTGCACTGAAATTCCGAAAGCCGAGGTACCAAAGAGGAAAGCTCATTACGATGATAGTATTTATGGTAAAGGCATCATAAAATTACTTTACGGTGGTGGGAAAGTGACTAGAGCCGAGATGTAGATTCTTGCTTTATCAAGAATCTCTGAATATATAGTAGGAGCACCAGACCATATGTGGCATCAATATACAAAGCAAGGAGGAATGGGAGACTTGTAAATATGTCAGATAGATTCTGGCGAGAGAAATTGTCTAGGGCGACACAATGAACAAACTTTCTTAGCAACAAACTTAGCAAAAGATTTAATACTTAATTCAACTTTGGGAAGACATCTTTCCTTACTTCAGTTGTTTTCGAGTCGGTTTGATACACTCACATTATGAAAATAATACCCAAATGTTGGTTTTGGTTGACCTGGTAAATATCGAAAACGTACTCGCTCGCTCTCTCTCTCTCTCTCTCTCTCTCTTTCCCTCTCTCTCTCCCTTTCTCCCCCCCTCTCTCTCTCTCATACATGCATGCGGGAAGATATACTCTCTCTCTCTCTTTATCTATCTCATACATGCATGCGAGAAGAGATACTGTCTTTCTCCTCCCTCTCTCTCTCTCTCATACATGCATGCAGGAAGATATACTCTCTCTCTCTCTCTCATACATGCATGCGAGAAGAGATACTGTCTTTCTCCCCCCTCTCTCTCTCATACATGCATGCGGGAAGATATACTCTCTCTCTCTCTCTCTCTCTCGCATACATGCATGCGAGAAGAAGATACTCTCCCCCTCTCTCTCTCCCCTCTCTCTCTCATACATGCATGCGGAAAGATATACTCTCTCTCTCTCTCTTATCTATCTCTCATACATGCATGCGAGAAGAGATACTGTCTTTCTCTCCCCCTCTCTCTCTCTCTCTCTCTCTCACATGCATGCGGAAAGATATACTCTCTCTCTCTCTCTCATACATGCATGCGAGAAGAGATACTCTCTTCTCTCTCCCTCTCTCTCTCTCTCTCATACATGCATGCGGAAGATATGTCTCTCTCTCCCTCTCTCTCTCATACATGCATGCGAGAAGAGATACTGTCTTTCTCCCCCTCTCTCTTTCATACATGCATGCTCTCTCCCCTCTCTCTCTCTCTCTCTCTCTCTCTCTCTCTCATACATGCATGCGAGAAGAGATACTGTCTTTCTCTCCCCCTCTCTCTCATCATGCATGCTTCTCTCTCTCTCTCTCATACATGCATGCGAGAAGAGATACTGTCTTTCTCTCCCCTTCTCTCTCTCTCATACATGCATGCTCTCATACTCTCTCTCTCTCTCTCTCTCTCATACATGCATGCGAGAAGAGATACTGTCTTTCTCTCCCCCTCTCTCTCTCTCATACATGCATGCGGGAAGATATACTCTCTCTCTCTCTCTCTCTCTCATACATGCATGCGAGAAGAGATACTGTCTTTCTCTCCCCCCTCTCTCTCTCATACATGCATGCGGGAAGATATACTCTCTCTCTCTCTCTCTCTCTCTTCATCTCTCTCTCTCTCTCCCCCCTCTCTCTCTCATGCATGCGAGAAGATATACTCTCTCTCTCTCTCTCTCTCTCTCTCATACATGCATGCTCCCCTCTCTCTCTCATACATGCATGCGGGAAGATATACTCTCTCTCTCTCTCATACATGCATGCGAGAAGAGATACTGTCTTTCTCTCCCCCCTCTCTCTCTCATACATGCATGCGGGAAGATATACTCTCTCTCTCTCTCTCTCTCTCTCTCTCTCATACATGCATGCGAGAAGAGATACTGTCTTTCTCTCCCCCTCTCTCTCTCTCATACATGCATGCGGGAAGATATACTCTCTCTCTCTCTCATACATGCATGCGAGAAGAGATACAGTCTTTCTCTCCCCCTTTCTCTCTCTCTCATACACGCATGCGGGAAGAGATACTCTCTTTCCCTCTCTCTCTCATACATGCATGCGGGAAGAGAGATAGAGAACCGTAGAAAGAAGTTCCATATACATACTTATATACCCTTCGGAAACAATGTAACTTATGACATAAGACATTCCTGGAAGAAACATATGAAGAGAAAGGCAATATACAAGATCTTGCCATATCAAAGTTCTAATTGAAAACGACCTGATTGCTGCCTTGGAAATCAGCATTAAAAATAGCTTGCTTTTTTACCTGAACACCAACCGATAGAAAATAGCAACCTACTTGGTCGTTATTTTCTATCGCTATACCTTTACTATTTGTGACAGTACACCTGCATGTACGCCGGGCAGTGGAGATTTCTTCAACCAGAAAACTCCCATAGGCTATTTCGGGATAGCGGCGATGGTTGCAGTTAGTTCGATGGTGTCTCGGGTGTTTCTGAAAAAGTTTAAACCCGCCTATCCATATATATACACACAACACCAGAAAGACTTGTGTATACAAAATACAGATCATGGCGACGATATTTCTGCATACGTCATAGTTTGAGCGTGTACAAACGTACGTAAACCACGCGCATGCGCATTTACTAACAAACAGGAAGCAATACCGATCGATATAATTACAATCGCCATCTTGTTTCATATTGTAATATCTACGGTCGATACATTTAATTAAAGCTCTAGTCGTTTGGCTTGCGAGTTCAAATCTCGTAGGATACTTACGTTATTCCGAAATCATGCAATTTACATTTAATGTTATTTAAGAGTCCAATGAATATATCGGCCGTAAAATTGGAAAATTTTAGTCTAAAAATGTTTAGGAAAAGTATTTAATCTTATAAAATCATAACAATAGTGAACAAATACATTATCAAACTAAAACTTCGCGTTGGTCAAAAATTGGGTTCTGTCTTTGTCGTCTATGAGACACGTTTAGTAATTATTAATTTCCTTCATAAGGATTGCTTTTGATTATGCTGTCACGGCTGTCACAGCAGAGCGTATTTTTTATTTGTCAAAATTAGTTTTTCTTTATTAACGATAGAACAGTATATTCTATATTTGATTTATTTTGCTCTCTCCAATTTGTAGCTTGCATTTTCAACTCTCCCTCTTGTTAATGACTATATATTGTGTATTTTTATAATTGATAGTCTTTTCTTTTCGCTTTCTTTCACTGCCTTGTCCGACAGTTTTCTTTCTGTATCTTCCAACAATACGGTGTCATCTTTGAGGTTGTGCACACGAATAATAAATCCTGGCAGAACTTGTTTTAATCATTTCACCCCAAGCAAGTTGGGAATGTCATTAGTTCGCAGGGGGCTACAAAGAATGAAAGCGAAAGAGAAGAATGAGAATAGGGAGGATTGAGCAAAACACAAAAGATGAACGGGATTCAAAAAGATAGAAGATGGCGATTGACGTTGCATATAAATATTTGAAGTTTGTAGTTATCAGGGAAGCAAGTAAACAGAAGAGAGCTCCACAGGTGAGGAGTGCGAGAAAAGAAATATTTTGAGTAGAAATGGCGGTTGCATTTAGCTATTTCAATAGTAAACAGATGGGACCTAGAAGCCAATCTAGTGGCACGTTTAAATTCAGACAGTTGGGACACCAGGGAGAAAAGCTTGTCAGGGGAGTTGAAATATTTGTAGAAAAGACAGAGGGAAGCCACGCCACGTCGGTGAGAAAGTGACTGAAGTCGAGATGCCAGGTCAGGATCGATTATATTACAGATCCTTCTTTGGATTTTGTCAATAATCTTGAGATGTACAGCAGAAACTCCAGACTAGATATGGCAACCGTATTCACGGCAAGGAAGAATGGTAGATTTGTCTATATTTCTGAAATTGGGTATTTTAATTATTTACACTATTTATATTATTCGGACTGTTGTTGCTATATTCACGACGTTTCGGCTGTTGTACGCTCCGGCCTTCTTCAGGTGATATGAATTTCAAATTGAACTCTTTATTTCGAAGATGAGGACAACAGTTCGAACTATGTAAATAGTGTAAATAATGGTAAATTTGTAAATGTGCAAAATGGATTCCGACGAGAAAAATGTTCTGGTAGGACAGAGTGACCCAACTTTCCTTGCACTAGATGCAGCTATTGATTCGATATAATTGCTTCACATCAAGTCAGTGGAAAACGTGAGGCCAATGAATGCGCGGTGTATTACTCTCCTGGAGTCTATCGCCAGCCAAACATCTGGTTCTCTTAAGACAGCCTCGGTGTAAATGTTGAATTATTCAGGTGAGAAAACCCTTCCTTGTCTTACTTCCCTTCCTATTTTTACGTGCTTGCTCAATTCTTGCAGGCGGTTTGTTCCCAGTAAATATTTTGCATTGTTCTCCAGGGAGGAGTTTAAGTAGAAATGAAATAATCATTTTTCTTTTTTAATTTTATTTTGATTACTATAGATTAAGCCCTTCTGATCACGAAAAATAAATATAAAAATTAATAGGAGGTCCTGTTTGTTATGTAAATTTATTGTAAATTGATCTCTCTACGGAAACTAAAAAATATGCTCATACCAAGTGATTGCTTATAATATAAAAAATATTTTTTTTTTTTTTTAGATATTTAGTATGGAGTGCTTAATCGATCTTTTTGTTCTAAGTTACGTGTTACTTAAAGACTTTGGCTATCATGGTTCACCGCAATTTCCTGTACTTTGTAGCTCTTAAATTTTATCTTTTTGTTATCTCTCCTAAACCGTGTTCCGCCATTCATTTACTCAAACCCATTAGGTAGGTTATGAGTTGTGTTCCTCTGTCCATTTTGCCTTCAATCTGTCCTGTGAGTATCAAATTTTCTAAGTCAACTTTCCTCATCTTGTGCGATTGTAATATAATATTAGACGAACTTCAGATTACGAATTTCTTGTTGCCTGAGCATATTTTATAGGGGGATTAATTTACATAGCATAATTGATCCCCTATTAAATTTTACAAACCATAATTGACTCCCCACTAACTTTTAGAAAACGTTATATATATACCTCTCCCCCACCTCGTCTTTCCATCCCTCTTATTCTAACATTAGATTGTCTATGGTGTATGTCACCACGAAATGTATCTTTATGCATTAGACATCCGACAACATTCATTTTTCTCTTACTTAAACCCCTTCCACCCACCTCTCCTAAAATTCTCTCTGTTAAGGTTTAATCTCCCTCCTCCTCATACTTACACTCTCTCTAAATTCTGTTTTTATTTCCGGAGTTGTTTTTTTTCTGTTTTCTTTTTGAATTTGTACGTCTGATGAATTGGATCGTATTTACGATTCCAATGGAATAAATTATGACCATGGAATATTAGTGTTTAAGCCTTTTTATTATATCCTTACTCTGTCCTGGACATTGAGTTCTACCTGGATTCTTCCTCTTGGAATTTTTATTCAAAAAATATACATGTATGTGTATGCACTAATGTATATATATTTATATATTTTGCATATGTATGTGTATATTTACCACTAATATTATCTCTCTCTCTCTCTCTCTCTCTCTCTCTCTCTCTCTCAGGGGGTTACTGAGTATTAGAGAGTATGAGAAAAAACTAATCAGGTGAGAGAACGATAAAAAAAAATGAATTAAGAAGATAACAATTGGCATTGCATTTAAATTTTTTGAAGATCAAATTTAACTGGGAACCAAGAAGTCGAAAGCGAGTTCCACAAGCAAGAAGTGTGAGTGAAGAATATGTTAGCATAGAACTTACGGTTACATCTAGCTAATTCAACTGTAAAATGATGAGACAATTACTAGTACCATAGCAGAAAATTCATCAGAACAATTACGATGCAAGTAAGCTATGTTCCGGCTGTGGGAAAGTGACTGAAACCGAGATGGTAGGTCAGGACCAGTAACATTATAGATAGTTATTTGTATTTTATCAAGAATCTCTAAATATATATATAACAGAAGCACCAAATCATATGTGGCAGAAATATTCGAAACATGGATGAATAGTAGATATATAAATATGTAAGATAGATTCGGGCCAGAAAAACAGTCTAGCACGACACAGTGGACCAACTTTCCTAGCAGTAGACCTAGCAATTGATTCAATATAATCTTTCCACTTCATGTCAGTTAGCCCGAGAAGGCTTAACGAGTAATTTTCCTGGATATTAACATCAGCCATGATGATGCGACGTAGAAAGGGATCTCTCAGACGATTAAAAGAGAACAGTTACGTTTTGGAGGCGTTAAAATTAACAAGCCATTACTTGACCCGAGTTATCAACAGATTGCAAGTCATTTTTGACATCAGCTGTTATCTTGACGTTATCGAACCGATCAGACTGACAGTTAAGACAGTGTAAATAGTGCCATCAGGATAGATACAGAATTGAGACCTGATGACGTCAGGAAAGTCATTGGGAAAATTTAGGAAAACGTAGGTCCAAGTGTAGAGCCCTATGGGATATCAGTATTAACGCAAAATTATCCAGAATATATATATATATATATATATATATATATATATATATATATATAAATAAAAAGGAAGAACAGCAAGATATATAATCCGGTGTTCTTATAGAAAAATTCGCTTGAGGATGAAATGGAACTAATGTCTTTAATTTAATCACAAAATTAAATTCGTGGCTTTTAGCTTCCATTTTTGAAACATGGTTAGAACTGTGTAGCGAAAAAAATTTTAAATCAATTAATTGAAACGATGACTTGTGACTTCGTGCTAGCATAGCTATCGATGGTCCCCAAGTGTTCCGTCTACCCAATTTCACTCACAAGGCTTGGGTCAACCCGTAGTATGGTTTTCCCGCACCTTCCAAGGGTGCTGCACGTTAGGATCGTTCCCCTCCAGGCCGATAACTTCAGGAATCTCTTTCCTAACAAATCAAACGTGGTGAGATTCGTACTCAGGTATATATATATATATATATATATATATATATATATATATGTGTGTGTGTGTGTGTGTGTGTGTGTGTGTGTGTGTGTGTGTGTGTGTGTGCATACACACACACATATATATATATATATATATATATATATATATTCGAACTCAGGTATATATATATATATATATATATATATACACCTATATATATGTGTGTGTGTATATATATATATATATATATATATATATATATATATATATATATATAGGTGTATATATATATACACTGCGTGCCAAATTATTATCGAGATAACTTTTTTCTAATATTTCAAAAACTGTCTAATCAATTCACACAAAATTTCCACACAATGTTGGCATCACTGACCTGCGCAATCACTGAAATTTTTGTACTGATCTGCGCAATGTAAATAAACTGGCGCCATGTTTGTTATCAGTACGGTGATTTGAGCGTGCCAGATTATTAGAAAGGTTTAGTAAAATTCCTAGAATTGAGCAAACAATACGTTTATTAATGTTGCACGTGAATGTTTATGATCAAAAGAAGCTAATAAATAAGATAATCAAACAAATAATAACAGATACAAACAAAGGCACAGTTTTAAACAAATTATTAGGGAATATGCTTTCCCTGTTTTGAAATTACTTGAAGAAGTCGACGATCCATAGAATGCTTTATTTTCCATATTTTTGCTACACGTGTTTCACACTCCGGTTCACAATCTGGTTCACACTCCTTCCCAGTCTTGTGAACAGGAGTAGAAGTTTATCCCTCGTTTTCTGTTTAGGGTTGGTTTTTCATTTCCACCTAAAGACTACTTCACCGCAATACTTCTAACGTTCTCGTTGTTTTTACTATTTTTATTTTTTATTTATTTCCTCAATATGAGTAGATAGGCTCGCCTATTGTCCGGATCACACTCCTCCCCTGTCTTTTAAACAGAAGTTGAGGTTTATCTCTTGGTTTCTCTTTAGGATTTGTTTTGCGGTTCTTTCTAAAATCTACTTATTTTATCTCCCTCCCACTAGCCCCTTGTGTCTTAGTGGCAGTATCACCTTCCTTGGGGTGAATTGATTAAGAAAAAATTAAATAAAACAGAAAAAAAATAAATCTGGCAATTAGAGAATTTCAAGGCTTCTCGCGCTATCCTCTTTTTATACACGCCTCAACTGAGTTCAAAAGCCTTTACACGGCCTTGTGGGTGATGAATTGTTTCCCAACCTACAACCTATTCCCAACAGACGAAACGTTGCTAGCCTCTCGCTACTCTATCGCTAGTCTGATGGAAAATATTCGAGCTAACTACAGTAGCTGGTGCCACCAGTCCAAACCTTCGCAACTAGGACCCTCCAGTCGACTCATACTCATTCTCTTCATACCCCATTTCCCGAGAAGGTGCTTTCCCGATCATTACAATTTTAACCTCTTCAAACCAACGTCTACCTTTTGTCTAGCCTACATATCCTGATAATATGCACTTGTTGGTCCTTCTTTGTACGTTCTTACAACGACTTCATACAGCGACACTCTACCTTAGGTGGCTCTTGGGCTTTGTATTAGGTAAGCAATAATAAGAAAGAAAAACGATAACACCTCTAAAGCAAGCAATCTTTTTAGTTGAGTACCCAGTATCATAAGATTGAGCATTAATAGCAACAAATAAAGTTAAATATTCAATATATATACACAAGAGCAAATCAAAACGTAATGCTATACGTTTTATTATATAAGAAAGAGGAATGCAATAAAACATATCGTACATCAAGATACAGCTAGACATCATAGGTTCACATCCCTACTTCTCACCATAGTCATCATCTCTTTCAATGACAGTGTTCCACCTACGAACGAGGGTATGTATATAAGCTTCATAAAACTTGACTCTCTGCTGATATAGCCAATTCCTTACGGCAGTTTTTACTTCTTCATCAACACCATAACGTTTGCCTTTTTCATTGAATCAAAGAGATGGCTGCCTGGTCAATGAATACTGAATGTTTCCACATTAGGAAACGGCTAATATAATTCTGTTTGTTCCTTAGTTAGCTAGTTAATTAGTTAGATAGCATGTACGATACAATCCCCTCCCCCATCTGCCAATATCTAAAAAATAATGGACTATTCCGTTTTGATCGCGAGGGAAGATGGAAAAGACTTATCAGAGACGCTGTCTGTTTTCAAAGAATGAAATCTCAATAATGTTCTCATGTGGTTAACGTCTGCTTCAGTGAAATGGAAAAACCGCCTGCTTCTTTCAATAAGGACATCCGTACATTCAATATTTTGATAAAGTTGTTAAGCTCAAATATTTAATTTCCATGAATATTTTTTTTAGTCGTGTGGGTCTTGTAAGGAGATTATTTAGTCATTAACTGAAAATTTATGCTTCAACAGCAAATTAAAAAGACAAAACCAGGAAATTTCATAAGTACTACCAGTTAACATTATTATAATTTCTCATCTCAAATATATATATATATATATATATATATATATATATATATATATATATATATAACTTACTAATTACATATTCAAATATTTGAAGTGTGAAGGTATGACGTAAAATATTTTTCTGAACAGAGATTAGAAAGAATTTGTTTATTTGGGATTTACTGCAGGCATCAAGAAATACTGCTCAACATACTAATGCTTATTTTGGGGATGATGGTGTCTTGCGTCTGCGAATGTCAGACAAAAAATGTTCAAATGTCTTGCTTTTGAATAGAAAGCACGGATACATTTTTAAGTGTTTATTTTCCCGTAAATCGTACTTACGTAAAGCAAGATAATCCTGGATAAAAAGCTGATTTATTTATCATTAAAATAAACGTAAATCTTCCTTTAAATCACAAATAATAATCAATTTTCTAAAGTGTGGGTTTCTTGTCAGATATTTTTCAAACAACAAACTCTAAGAGGCCAAAATGTTTTCTTCGGGCGCCATTAACGTACGTGTCTGATGCAAGACCGACAAACAGACAGATTTCACTTAAAACAAAAAGTAAATTAGATATAAGTAAAATGAAATCTAACAAGGCTTCCTTGCTAGAAAAATGCGGTAAAAGTGAGGCAAGTTGGTTCCTTCCCGTCTGCCATTTTTCTTATTTGTCTCTTTCTTCTCGGATTGGAATCCTACACGAACATTTAGTTTGTTTTTAACTTTTCTAGTTCACAGTCTTCTTCCTCTTTCAGTCTTTTTACTCCATCATCTTTTTTCTTGTTTAGTCATCCGACTTTCTCCTTATACCCTCTTCTATCGAAAGCATCAGTGCGTCCCAGAAATTGACCTTCGTGCAAGCCACTAGATATTGGCTAACTTAACAACCTCTTTTTCTTCTCGTTGCCCTCGTGAATTGGCGTGATTTGCTGGCCTGTTTTTATTCTTTTCTTTTTTTCTTTTTTTCATATTCACACTGACTTTATCATTCATTGCTTTTGGCTTTTTTTGCTGTTATTCTTAAACTCAAAGCCACACCTTCTTCTTCTTCTTCTTCTTCTTCTTCTTCTTCTTCTTCTTCTTCTATGTGACGTGTCCCTTCAGGACTTTGGTGATCATGACACTCCACAATTTCCCATCCTCGGTAGATCTTTAATAATTTTTATCTCTTTCTTTTTTATCTCTCCTAAACCTTGTTCCAACATCCATTTATACAAGGTAGTTCATGTGTTGTTTTCCTCTACCCGACATGCATTCAATCTGTCCTTTGAGTATCAAATTTTCCAAGCCCTCTTTCCTCGTTATGTGCCCTAGAGATTTTAACTGTCTCTTCCTGGTGTTATGTCCTTTTTTTTTCCCTTTTCTCTAAAACTTCATCGTTGCTCATGTGCCCAGTCTATGGTATTCTAAGCATCCTTCTGTGGAAGTACATTTCTCTTGCTTCATGTCTCTTCTTCATCTGTGATGAGATTGATCAGCATATAAAAGGACTGATATCATATAACAGTTCAGTACTCTTTTAGTCTCAAAAATAAATTTTATATGACCCATAGCTGCATGCAAGCCCGGTGCAAGGGTCTAGTGCACCATCTAATCTATGACACGCCCCCACCCCCGCTCTACTATTTTCATAAGGTAGTATTCATATAAAATACAAATTTATTGCAATATAATTATGCACAATAATGGATCATCTTACTTATTATAAAAGGCAGATTGTGTGTAAGTGTGTGTGTGTGTGTGTGTGTGTATTTATATATTGGATCAGATTTCCTACATTTTTCAACCGATTTCAACAAAACTTCACAGGACGACGTAAAATTACCTTGCGGTGGTTCTGACAGCGCCAAAAATTGGAAAAACAATTGTTTTTGAACGAAATCAATTTGAAAACACGATTAAGAGGCATTAATAAAAGGGGAACAACTCAGATCGAGTTATACTTATTAATATCGAGTTATACTTATAAAACCCAGGTTGGTTGTTTGTGTGTGTGTGCGCGCGCGTGTGTGTGTGTGTGTTCGTTTATATATGGGATCGGATTTCCTACATTTTTCAACCGATTTCAACAAAACTTCACTCTTTTTGGCAGGTAGTGTTTCTTATTGTCTTGCAAACTTTTTTTCTTTATTTTTACATTCAGAATGCTTTAAAAATTCCATTTACAAGACAATTATTTATAATAAAATTCTATTCAATCGGTAGACTCATAACGATTGAAAACAATGTTTTTGTTTGAGTTTGGGTTTGACCAATTCGTAAAAAAAATAATGACATTGCGTGTCCGTCAACCTTAAACAATAACCTTTGTCAATTTTATTTTTCAGTCTTTATGATGGCCGATACTTGATCTATCTCTTACTGTTACATCCCCGGGCAACGCTGGGCTCTCCTGCTAGTATGCAATATAGAGGAACAATTCAACTAGAAAAATTGAAAATAAATACAGTGTATCTAAATGCAAATTAGAAACATGTCATAATAGATCATTCCATCAAATTAGTCAACAATGTTTTGCGGCAATTTTTAACATCAGCTTGAGATTTTTCTTGTTAAAAAGTTAAAGAATTTAACACATTCATCATTATTGAATAAAAAAAAAAATGGTCAATTTTATTCAGTGTTTTTTTTTTGTTTGTTTTTTTTTTTTTTTTTTTTGATTTAGCATGAGCAAAACAAATTAAAAGAAAATGACCCCAGAATGATGTCAGAAATCACGAAAAGTTTTCATTCTTTCATAGTCAGTGGGGATTAATTTATAACGTATATAAATGTAGGTAAAAAAAGAAAATGTTGATAAGATAGCGATGGTCACAATTGCCCCCCCACACACACACACACACACGGTCGAGGAGGCGGCTCGGACGCGCTGGTCCTGACTGTATGATTCAAGTGAGAAAAAAATAGAAATAGACTGAAAAATAAGACTCAAGACTAATGTAGGAATTTAAATAAAATCTGTGAAATTTAAAAAAAAAAAAAGTTTTTGGGTCATCTAATCATCGAAGCATCAGGAAAGTGAAATAAATAACTGGGATCTTTTCTCTTAATTCACTCCCAAAATATTAATTCACTCCCAAAATATTAATTCACCCCAAAATAAAAAGAATTCATATTTACTAAAATTCATAACTTCCGTTGCACTCCGGTTGAGTTGACCTTTGCTGTCGCCCAAAATGTGGGCGACTCGTGTGTGATATTTCTAAGTGTTAGCCAAAAACAGATTTATTTATTTTATTTTTTGTATTTTTGTAAAAAAAATCCTCTTAAGCATAGAATATCATCCGCACTTATGAAATGTGAATAATTCTCTGATTTTGGTAATTTCACATTCTGTGGGTTGGAGTCGTTGCGAGGCAAGCTAAATAAATTTTGATTTAAAATTTATAATTTCTTGGGGTGAATTAATATTGCGATAAGTAACTTCACATTATTTGGGGTGAATTAATATTGCGATAAGTAACTTCACATTATTTGGGGCGAATTAACAGAGGAGATCCAATAACTGAAAAATATGACGCAAATCTATATTTTAAAAGTCGAACTGATTCTCTGTACATCACACACTGTGACTTTGAACACCCGTATGTAATGTATTAGATAAAAGATTTCATTGAACTTTTCCGAGATGATCGTAAATAGAATTATTTTTGAATTTTTTTTTTCCTTTGGTCTTTCATTGAATAAAAATATACACGCCACACGCAAACGTGCATACACATAATTTGAATGAAATTGAAATGGACACCTCTGCCGTGAGGTCTAATTTCCGTTTCCGTGTGGCAACAACCCGTAGACAACAGGAAAAAAGTATAAGTCGAAATATGCGACACTTTCAAATCATTTTTATTCCTGAATATTTTCCTAATAAATGTAATATTGAAAAATATTTTAAATTTTAAAATTGATCATCTTGCAGTCAGCGAGCCGAGAGTTACTGGACTAGTACATACAGTGTAACCCGGATATAAGAGAGTTGTCGGGATCGGAGAAGTCTCTTATATCCGGGTTTCTCTTATATCCGGGTTTGGTCTATTTTATATACATTAACACAGAATTTGGGACCAGAAAAAAATCTCTCTTATATCCGGGTTTCTCTTATATCCGGGTCTCTTATATCCGGGTTACACTGTATATAATCGTAAGCTACTAATACCCTAACAGGGTGCGTCCTAGATGAAGAAAAATAATGTGATATTTTTTGCATGGTGTTATTTTATATATATTTTTGAAAGTGAGGTACTCTCTGTACAACAGGGCAGGTTGATTTAGGAATCGTGGTATTGCACTCAATTTGAAAGTTGAGGCTTCACGTGATAAATAATGACAAAATATTTTTTTCCAAATCATTATCGTTTTTTGTGAAAACGAGTTTAAAAGAGTAAATTTAGGTTCAACATCGTAGCGTTAACATTTCTTTTCGGTGATCAGTGAAAGCCTTATAGCACAGCCTTATAAAATTAATAATTTATTGAAGCTTTACAAATTGTATATGGACAACATGCAAGGCCCACGCACATTATTACTACCGTCATATAAGACCTTCATTACTTCAAAGGGAAATTATACTGAACAATGTAGTTATATGATGTAATATGCTATACAGTGGTGTAGTTTTAATGTGATTTTCAATAAACAATACCAATTTAAAACATTTTGACTTATAATTTGTGCCCAGCAATATTATGGTGCTATATACAATTTTATCTATTTATTTGGGTTTATTAATTATGATCTATCAAATCTTCTTCATTGAATAGACTTTTTGGTAATCTTTTGCATTTTTTTTAAATAGTCGAATACAGTAAAAAAAAATGTCCTATTTTACTTGTGGCTTTTCATAACTGAAGTTCAGTTTTGAATATATTTTCCATTCAATGTTTCTAAGACAAAAGATAACAAATTTCTTTAGATTTATTCTTGAAATATTAAAATTTTGAAGTCAGTTTGTAAGCAAAAATCTGCGGATATTAGGTATTTCTGTCCATTTTTTTTCAGACAATACTTCAAACTAAATTCTCAAAAATTCGTAAAAGCTATGAATCTAATTCTTGGTGTCAGTGGCTATCACATCAAACTCCATCTTTCACCTCGAGGGCAATATTGATTTTCTAAACAAAATTGAAAAATTAACCTGTCCTACTCTACAGGGCCGGAGGGGTGCTCAAGGTAGAGGGTTACAGAGTAAGAGGCAGTTTATGCGGGTAGGAGGGAAAATAACGAATAACCCTGGACTTGAATAGGTTAAGATTAGAGTGATCGGGGCAACATCTTCTTGGGAGTTGATTCCACAGAGCAGTGGTTCGCGGGAAAAAAGCTGTTTGGCTCCTAGCCCTGGAAATCTATCTATCTATCTATCTATCTATCTATCTATCTCAGTCTATTAATATCTATCGGATCCACAGAGCAGTGGTTCGCGCAAGAAGCTGTACGAGTGGATCTTCTCACAGATGGAATACGGTGGGAATGAGGATTGTTTGCTGTAATGTGAATCGCCACACGGAAATAAATGTTCTTTTTTCGTTTCCTTCATCCATTTTTCTTGATTTATGGTCAATTGAAATTTTAAAGTATCAAAAATATAACTAGCTTCTGTCAAGGTTTAAAATAGATGTAACTGTTTTATTGTTTTTTTTTTTGTTTTTTTTTTGCTTTTATTTTTGTTCTTTCTTGCTTCTGCGAGTAAGGTAGAAAAAGGTTTGCCAAGATGTTAACTCACCTTTCTTCATCCACGTTTGTGGTCAGCTTGTGACAAGTTCTTTGAGGCCAGAACAGACTGTAGGGGGCATTCGTTTCGTGCCTTTAAAGCCTATTTATTAGTGCTTCATATAATCGCTTACATTTCGTTTTTTTTTTTCTCTCTCTTTCTCTCTTTTAGATGAGACATTGTCAATCGTCATTTGTCTTCGACTCATCTTTCTTTCATTTTACTTTTGGTCATAGGTGTTTTATCGCATCTCTCAGATTGTATAAATCTATGATTGTGAAGCAAGAAATTTGAAAGAAACGTTTTCTCTTCTGGTCATCAAAGCATCGGGAAAGGTAAAAAAAAATGGTGGAAAAATGGAGCAAATCGAAAATGATGTTTTCCGGAAATTTTCTCATAATTTTTTCTTCCAGGGTAACCAAAAATACAGTATGACTAAGAAAATTGTGACAATGTATTTTTAAGAGCAACCTTTTTACATGGTAGGACATAGACAAATCGGTTTAATATCGATTCGCTTTGGGTCCTTTGGCGTAGTTAATGGTTGGTGAGCCAACCTGGTTGATGTTTAGTACTGAGTTCAATCTTTATTGGGAGCGTCCTACTTATAAACTTGTGTCAAAATTAATTTTTTTTTTTTTTTAATCAAGTTCACCCAAGCAAGGTAATTAATGTTTCTGCTCTTAATCCTTCTACGTCCTGTAACCCCTTGTGTCTTAATGGCCTTACTGGTTTGCATGGGGAGATAACTATTAAAAAAAATATAGATATACTTTTATGGTCCAGGTTAGGACCAAGGAAGAACAAAACGAACACAAGAGTAGAAATAACGAAGGTATATTACACGAAATAATAATACAAGATGTGGAAGGTGTTAGTATGACTGTCAGTCTGGTTTGGAGTGAACTACTATCGGTTCGACTCGATTCGATATCTAGCCCCCTCCCCTCACGAGGGTTGCATGTGGCACAAGGCCGAGTTTAACGTGGGTTTCCCGAGCCACAAAATGCCCGTAGAACCCGTATAAACGGGATCGGGTTTGTCAACCTCCCCGAACGAGACTCTGCCCTTCGGCGGAGCCTCGTCCGAGTTCCTCTCTGCTCAGAGGCAGAGAGTTCGACCGTCAAGCCGAGCTTCTCGGCTTGATTCGGTATCTAGCCCCCACCCCCACCCCGAGGGTTGCATATGGCACAAGGCCGAGTTTAACTGATCAGAAGGTTTTGAGGAGCATGAAACCACCTCTTAATTGCTGGTGTTTGAATAATCAAAAGCTAATCGCCCAGACATCGTGATCAAAGACCACAAAAACAGAATGTGCTTTCTAATTGACATGGCAGTCCCTGCAAATTATAATGTCTCTTTGAATGTCTTCAAAAAACTATCAAAATACAAAGATCTTGAAGTGGAAATTTAAAAAAATGTCGCACATGATGACATCAAGAATTGCAGTTATAGTTGGAGCCCCCAGACTGATCGAAAATGGTTCCGATAAACTCATTGAAAGAATTCCTGCTAGTCCATGCCTTAAAGGAATTCAAATGGTTATACTCATAAGTACAGCTCACACATTACGAAGAGCTTTATCTATGTAAAATGTGTGGGATCTTGGAATTTTTTTTTTTTTTTTCTCTTTTTACAAAAATGATCGATGGAAAATGTCATGAAACCATACGTCTCCGGTTGGGAGCCAGAAGGAAATGTGTATACAACAGAAATCAAAGGAAATAATAATAATAATAATAATAATAATAATAATAATAATAATAGTTGTTACCGTGAAAATCTCACGGTTTTTCTATTTGAATTTTTTTATGAACCATAATTTTTAATTTAATGACTCTTGCGAGTTCCATGACAATAAAATACCCTTAGATATTTCATTGTTACATCGTTAAATATTTGAGCTTAACAACTTTAACAAAATAATCAATAACAATCATATGCAACGTGATAGGCCCTGATCTGGCATCTCGTCTACAGTCGCTTTCTCAAAGACGTGCCGTGGCTTCCCTCTGTCTCTTCTACAAGTATTTTCACGGCAACTGTTCTGACAAGCTACTTTCGCTGGTTCCCAGACTGCATGAAAATAAGCGAGCTACTAGGCTGGCATCTCGATCCCACACTTTCACTGTCAAAACGGTTAAATTTAACCATCTCTTCTACTCAGACAGCTTCTTCTCTCACACTTCCCGTCTGTGGAACTCCCGTCCTCTTGCTTGCTTCTCTGATAACTATAATCTTCAAATATTCAAGTGTAATGTCAATCGACATCTTCTGATACCTTGATCTTGTTCCCCGCCCTTCTCTGTATCCTTTCCTCAAACACGCCTCTTTACTCTTGTTCCCAACCCTCTGTAACCCCTTACGTGCTACTGGCACTCCTGCCTTGCTTGGGATGAATTGCTTAAAAAAAAGGATAACTGAAAAGATGCAAAATTCACAAGGTTTTTTATTTCACTGAATCAGACGTTAAGTCACGAGCGCGATATCGCCTACACTAAAGTTTTTTCTTCTTATTAATATATATGCTTTCTTATTCTTACTAAAACCCATCAGTTTTTCTGATGTATTTTTTTCTTCTAGCTTTCCTCACAGCCCAGATAGAATGCTTCATTATTTATCTGAGGCAATGGCAGGAAGTATAAGTAAAATAATAATAATAATAATAATAATAATAATAATAATAATAACAGCAACAACAACAACAATGCACATAGTAACGAGGAGTATCAGAACTGGACATCGGGAGGGTATTTTATGTCTGAAGGATGAGGCAGCCAAGATAACATGGAAGTCACATCATGATACTCTCAATCGGAGACCGTCTGAACTGACTAGGTTACCTGACCTGAAGTTTTGTTTAACTGAGCGCCACCTTCAAGTTATTTACGTTGCTTTATCAAAACCTGTCTCGCACATTTGGCTGTGAGGCATGTGCCTGATGTACCCTTATCAGACTCGGCGCCTTTCTGGACACATATGTTTCTTATATTTGCACCCCAGCTTCACTTGTATATTGCTGTCTCACGCAATAATAATAATAATAATAATAATAATACGTAAAATTTACAAATAATAATAAACACATTAAAAACAAATTAATATACCTTTTTATTGAATTGGTTGGGATTATGAATGTGAAGAATGTATTTGATGAGTAATATTAATTCTTTTTTCTAATTTTATTTTTATCTACCAACCCAAAAATCGCATCAAGAAAAAATGCCCAGGACATTAAGCAGTCAGTCCAGGAATATGCAGATTGGCTGAGAACAATGTTGATTTATGAAACTATGCGGCGCAATGTAAAACGACGTCATGTTCGTGCGCCACATTCTTTTTTTCTCTCTTTTGGAGCACACTCCTATATGTATGCGTCTTTGTGCTACAGCATTTTATGATTTGCCCCATTATCTTAAAATACAAACAGGCATTTTAATTATTTGAAGAATGTTTACATTTTATTTATTCCTTTTTACTTAGTAAAAATTCTGAATAATTAAGAGACATCTGATCAGGCTTTTACATGTATTTCGCTTCCAAAAGCACCCTCATTTCATAAATCTCCTCATTTCCAAAAATACATATAAAAATCTCATATTCACAACGTTTCGAATTTCGAACCGAACCATTTATTTCGTCCACCGGGTTAGATTGTACTAGTTCCACGTGCCATGCCTCTTCCGGATATCTCAGTTATTTCTCTTTAACTCGTCTCTCCAAGTTTTTTGCTTCATCATCACTTTACCCTGGAATTAAACTCATACATCTTCGTGTCTAGTCACTAGATCTAACCAACGCCTTGTGTCATTGAGGACATCTGTGTATGAATTTCTGCGGCTTATAAATCTAATGTCGCAGCAGCGGTTTTTACCAGTACCCATATTGCAATTTTTCCGTTAGTATCATTGCATATTTTTTACCAGTACTTATATTGTAATTTTTTGTTGTTATTCATTGCTTTTCTCTATTACGCTTTATTACTGGTTGCCATATTGTATTCATTTCTAGGTCAAAAATCTAAATGCAAGGTCAATCGCTGTCTTCATGATTCCCCTTCATCTTTTGTCCTTTCATCAATCCCCACCTATACGCAGTCTTTTCTCTAAATTCCACTCCCTATGACCCCCTGCGAACTAGTGACAAATAATGACTAATTCGAAAAGATAGATAGATAGAACTAGTAGATATTATTTTATCAAACATGTTTGAAAGAATTATTGCTGCCAAAATAATACATCACACATTCATCCACCCTCATATATATATATATATATATATATATATATATATATATATATATAGAGAGAGAGAGAGAGATGAACAGACTGTGAGATAGATAGAAAAATAGATAGACAGACAGCTAATAAACAGGCTGAGATAGATAGATAGATAGATAGATAGATAGATAGATAGATAGATAGATAGATATAAAAGGAACTGAGAGAGAAGTGAAGGGACTGATATATATATATATATATATATATATATATATATATATATAGAGAGAGAGAGAGAGAGAGAGAGAGAGAGAGAGACATTAAATGACAGTGAGATAAATAATGAACAAGCCGACATAGATAGATAGATAGATAGATAGATAGATAGTAGGAATCATCTCGGCAGTAATTTTAGTCTTATGCTTCAATTTGATCCTATATATATATATATATATATATA